GGTAACTGGGAAATGGGCTTTCATAGAAATGAGTATCTGGCAGTTTTTTAACATTTAGATATCATATGATGTAATTAATTTTTAAATTTTTAAATGCTTCTATAGATCAACAGATTATCCAGAAATATTCAAACAGTTGGATTCTTTATTAGGTTACTATACTCCTTAAAAGTTAAATCACAGCATCACAAAGGAATGCACTTAGCAACATGCACATTGCAGGACTGGTAGAGGTGATAGAGATATGCAAATCATTAAAAGAACAAACAAAGATATGCAACAAACACCTGTTTATTTAGTTACGAATAAGGCCCAATGAACAGACCAATATATGGAGAGGTATACTATCAATGAAGTGAGTAATGGATGTACAGTACCTTGCCAAGCTGTGTCCACTTCAGTGCACATGTTGTCTATAGTATGTGGCAGTGGTCCCAGTGTGCCTCATGTTGAATGAGGTCTCACAGGTGTTTGATGGGAGAGAGATCCATTAAGGCTACTGTCCAGAGACGGATGTGAATTCTGTTCAGGCTGGTGTGAGTTCACCTTGCGATGTGTAGTTGGGCATTATCTTGCTGGAACACTGTGTTGAGTTGGCCTGCACCAGTGGCCAAATCATAGGCCACACAATTTGTGATGTATCTGATGTCAGAGCACCAGAAATATGCACCAGGGTTGTCCACTGATCAAACATGATGCCTGGTGTGGGCTGGTGTAATGCTCACCAAAAAAAAGGCTGGCTTGTAGCATTTCTCAGAATACTGCCACACCTGTCTAAAGCCATCACTCCTCTATAGATAGATGTGGAATTTGTCCTTAAACAATATTTCTTATTCAGTGGTCCAGTTGCAATGAATGATGACACCACATCAGGCGTGCAACCCTGTGTCAAACAGTTAATGGCATCCCGGTTGCTGATTGCTTTGCATGCAGCCCCAACTTCATGCAACTTGTTGTAAATGGTTTGGTGGACACAGATGCACCTGTTAATAATGACAGACAACTATGGATGTCACATGCCGTGGCAAACGGGTCTTGATGGGCTCTCTGGCAATAATCTGCCAGTCTGTACACTCTGTTATGTGCCAGTGCAATCCACTCCCTCTTTGCTGCTATGTTTGCAGATGTTCCTGTATCCATTGTGTTACACACCACTGAATGATGGTCACATCATTTGCATGGCAACTGCATACATTGACAAACCGAGGTTGTGCAGCTCCATAATATGGTTTCATTCTCCAGTTGATAACTGGTGGTATTCAGCTCGCTCTCATCTCTGAGGCATTTTCTATGCTTCAAAAGTTCAGCTGCCATGAATTGTCACTGATAACATTTATGGCCCAAGTCGGCCGCTGGTCTTTAGAGCCCAAAACTGGGTACCATGTGACCCTATGCATATGAAAACTTACTTGTTTGCATATCTCTGTTACTTTTACTGAGTCCTGCAATTTGTTTGTGGCTACATGCACTCCTTTGTGGTGTTGCAATTTCACTTTTGAGGTGTGTATAATGCTAAAAAACAAAAAATCCTAAAAATATTAACTAATAAATACTTTAAATATATCTAAATATTTAATTTTCTTAGAAAGTATGAATTTACTATTTTAGTTTTAAATCAAATTACTTTAAGTAGAATTTTCTCAGGAATAAATATTGAAAAGCCAAATTTCTGAAACTTTTACAAACTTAATAGTATTAAGTTTATAAATTCTAAAACTAAGCAATTTAGTTTTGGAGTTGAGAATCCAAAGAAAGCAATTGAAACTGTAGAAAATTTTTTATACACAATAAAAACCAATCTTAGAATAAGTAATCTGAGTTTATGTTTTAATTTGCTTCTTAAGAAGAAGAAATAAAATTTTATAAAGATATTGAATTGTGTGAACTATATCATTTACTATACAAATATAAATAGATTTTTCTTAATATTTATAGTACTAATTTCATAGTCGTTTGAACAATTTAAATTTTTTTTGTATTAAAATTATAATACTTTATTTTTTTTAGCCGACGATTATAGATATCCTAGTTATGGCTCCTATGATACTGGAGATCCTAATACAACTAATTTATATTTAGGCAACTTAAATCCAAAGGTGAGTTTAGTAATTACATTTAGATGATTTATTGATTTATAGATGGTTAATTAATCTAGTATTATTTGAATTAGGCATAACATGGAGTAATGCCTAACCTCATTAGTAACGATATCGCCTTTGCGCAGAGGCGATATCGTTACTAATGAGGTTTGAGCCGAAGTGCGATTATTGCTAGTTGAAAACTTTTCATATTTATCCTACTTTAAGAAATGTTGTAAAAAATTATTTTAGGAATTAATTTTTTGTTATTTGGGAATAATAATTTCTATTCTATGACTATTCATATAATTCAGAATAATATATTACCTTTAACTGGATGTTTTCTTAAATACACTCAAAGAACCAAAATTCCAGTAGTTTATAACACTAAACTCTACTGTCTAAATAAAAATGAATGTTTTTGGTTACTTTAAAGTAACAGTCTTTGGGTTATTACAAAATTCAAATGTGACGCTTGCAATCAGATGCCAAATTTAAATTTTTTAAAATGCCATCTGATTGCACACATCACATTTAAATTTTTTGTAAAAACCTAAAGATAGTTGTTTTAAAACATCTGAAAATGTTCATTTTTATTTAGACAGTAAAGTTTAGTGTTATAAACTACTGGAGTTTTGGTTTTTTGAGTGTGTTTATAATTCAGAATGAATAACTATCATAATCTGTGGGTGCATATAACTGCACCAGCATTATACCCCATAGAATGTTGTTGAAACAGAAATAAAACTTGGAGGTGGTCTGATATTTCCTTTGTAAAGATCTACACAAACAAGGTTTACAGCTATATTCTGTTGTTAATAAATCAGCATCTCTTACAATATATGTTGAAAGCATTCTTCGTTGCTTCATTACAGAACACCTCCTAGTAATCTCACATGTTATTAAAGGACTGGAATCTTTATTAAGACATAAGACCTTTGCACAACCTACACCATTGTATTCCCCACAGCAGCCATTGAAAGCACAATACTTACTGCTATATAGTTTAGAACAGTGTTTTTAAACCTCAGGTCCACAATAAACTTTTATCATCCTGCAGAAAAATATTTGACCATACTGAAGCTGACACAGTTGGTAACACATGACTTTTAAATATTAATCTAGACTTACTATATGTACTAGATAAGCATATATAAGCTTAATAAATAAGCATAATTCATAATCAGATATATCAGTCTCTGTAAAATTATCCATAATTTTATTGTCCATGATGAGAAAAAGGTTGAAAAACACTGTTTAGAAGATACTATCTCAAACATTAGAACATTTCTTTCTGCATCACTTATTTTAAAAATACATTCTAAATGTACAAGGTCTTCCTTAATGAATGCTGTCATTTTAAATTCCTGTAATTATCTTTTCTAATTTACTGTAATTATGTTAATTATTATCCAAGATGTGTGTGACATGCACCAATCAATAGAATAATTGTCTAAGTTTTTTAAAACTTAGACAATTATTCTATTCTTCTCTTCTATCTGCATTTAAATGTGATATTTACTACCACTAGGAAGGGCCATAAACTAAAATGGCAACTTTGCAACAGAGAAGACACTTTGTGTTCTGCAGTTTGCAAAGTCTGAATCACTCGTCATGCAACGATGTGAATAATCTGCAAGAGCTGTAGAATTATGGGTGTTATGGCAGGAGTGACAATAGATATGCCACAGCGAGTGTAGGAAGAATTTGAGTATTGGCTAGATGTTCTATGTGACATGAAGTGCATGCATTGAGAAATTGTAATGGGCAAATGTGAAACTTGGATAATGATTAACATAATTACAATACAAAAAATTAATTATAATAATTTAAGATNAATAAATAAAATTTTTTAACAAACCTCTTGCAGCATTAAATTATTAAAATGTAGCAAAATAAATGTAAAATATTTAAATGTTTTTAATCTCTGAGATATTATTGATGCATTTAAATACATATGTAGGAGAAATGGTCAATTTATGGTTTGACGGCAGCCCGATGTCGCAACAGTTCCGCTACGTCCATTCTCTTTTGCACTTCTAAGTGTCAAACTGTAGGTGCACACTTCTGGTCTCTGCGATAACTCTAAAGTTGATTGATGTTCAGTTGTAATGTTCGATGCCAATTCCATGTTGTGTTGAGTTAGTTGCTGACTAGGGTTTGACTATAACCTGGACAACGTTCTTGTCAATTTTGGTAACGGCTAGTGACCTCAAAATTCCACGCAGTTGTCGGACTATAAATTGGCTTAAATGAATACACAGGCATCATCTTTTATGTTCTGAAGGCATTATATTTCAGTGTAATTTAAATACTGCAGAGATTATAAGCCCAAATGTTCTATATTTATTTTGTTATATTTTAAAACTAGGCAAGGCAATTATTTAAAAAAATTTGTAAATGTGAAAATTATATACAAATTCAAAAAAAGTGTATAATATTAGAGAAAAAAATTCTTTTATGTTCTGTAACTTTGTCATTAGTCCCAGGATCTTATGCTGACATTAACAATGAATGATTTGAAAATTACAAATTAGTCATTGTTTTTAATATCTTACAAGGTAAAGTGTTAATTTGAAATTGATTAGATCGGTTCATTATTATTTTCCAAGATACAATAATAATATGATTATTTTATAAGTTTTTATTCCATATTATGATTAGAAAATATATTTAGTCAAAATTTATTTGTAAATAATTCAATTTTACTTTTAACTTAGACTCTTAAGCATTTTTTTTTGTTTTTTAATACTAATCCAAAAAATCAATCTAATTTTTAAATATAAGATTTGTTTTCCGGAAGAATTATTTTTACGGATTACAACCTTATTCTATTTACATTATTGAAACTATTACTCTACATTACACTATTATTGCTATTACTGTTTTCTGAATATTCTTCATTATGTTCATCATTTTCAGATTCGCCAGACTATTCGTCGTCCTCACTTTCACAAAAAAACAGAGGTATGTCCTCCTGAGATATGTTTTTATGCTTGAAAGCTACCGGGTTTATTAAATAATTTTCGTTACGGAGCACTTCGGTAAAATAATAGTTGAAATTTCGTGTAATTGCCACAAAAGAATATATATTTACAAAAGTCGTAAGTTGCAAATGAAACAAATACGTTATTTCGGAACTTTACCGATTTATTTCTCTTGAGCTGTGACGGCATTTTTTCACCAGAATCTCAATTCGTAAGGCATATTAATTTTGAAAAACCCAGCACCAAAAGGGTTAAGAATTTGTTCAGATCAAAATTAAGTTTTAGAAATAAATAAATAATGTTTATAAAAATATAAAAGTATTTATATATCACATAGATCTATAAAACCACTAGAGGAAAAAATTATGAAGTCGTACTCTAATTAATGTCATTAATTTCATCAAAATGCTTTCATCTTGGTTTTGTCATCAATAGGGAAAATATGTTTCGTAACTGGTCATCATTCCGTTCTCTAGTGAAATTAAAATCTCATGTTATTATGAGCAAACTCCATCAAATAAATAATCTCAACAGTGATTAATTGAAGAAGTTCTTTATTTTAGTTCTTAGAAGCCTAAACTGTTTTCAAGGTTTACATGCAATTATCAGTATAATGGATTAAATAATTAAAATGCTTGATGCACTATATTCTATTAACCAAAGATGGAACAAAATCTCAAAAGTTACTTTTTTTTGTGTGTAAAGATTAAAATAAAAAAATTCAACTTTTTCTCCAGATGATTAAAAGATCCACACAGATCCAGATTCAGATGATGATTCTGGATCTGTGTGGATCTTTGCTCTATTTGGGAATATCTGGAGAAAGAATTACACTTCCCGTGGAACATAGCAAAGAAACATGGTCTTAGCAACTCTCGTATTGATGAGTTTAAAAAAAAAATTACAGTTGATGGCTGTTCTAGATCATTTATGTGAAGTTAAAATTGTTATTTAATAATAATAAAAACATAAGTTGAAAACAAGAGTTAAAATAATAGGTACATTTTTGCTATTTATGTGCATACACAATTAAAAATTTACATAAAAATTATGATCTTGTTTATTCTACAAAATAAATTGTTATGTGATTATGTAGCATTTAAGTTATTAAAGTATTTAAATGTTAAAACAGTTAAACATATAATGCAATGAAATTAGCTTATTCCATTATTATTATTATTATTATTATTATTATTATTTTATATATTTTTAAGATTTTTTCAACTCAATATCTTCAATATTATAAAATTTCCTCTAAGTGTATAATCATAAGTTAAATATAATTATTCTTTATATAATAATTAATTTAATTGCTATTATCTATTAAATAGTTAAAAATATAAAATCAAATTGTCCCAATCTAATTATAAATTATTTCAGATATTATTAAAGCATATATCAAGATATAATATCTTTTATTGAGTTAAAAACATTTTTTGTACTAATTGTGATATAAATCTGGACATTGATCACTTAGTATAATATTGCTGTTTTATAAATTAAGAAGGAATATCTTACTTCATTGAAATTAATTAAATTGAAATTATATGATAATAATATGGAGAGACAGTGAATTTGCAAATTATATTCAGTACAATAGACTGCCATTTTACAATTCTTTAGTTTACGGTTTCTGCTTTTACAATTGGTATATACAGGGTAATGCATGAAAAAGTAGACCCAGCCTTTAGTTTAGTAAAAACACATAATAATACAGTAATAAACATGAAGCTGACTTCTAGTATCAGCATTGAAGATGTTAAAAGTGGTCACCTGTTACATCTACATACAGCTGCTCAGATCAAGTCATGTTTAGAATACTGTGTAATGCAGTGACGTCAATGGCAGAGATTGCATGGCTGATGTTCTCCCTCTGTTTCCACGTGTGTGGATTTTCACAATTTAGAATGCCAGTGTTCGTTTGACACAACATTCCACTTGATCGATATGGTTTGCTCACTCGTTTCAATACAGCAGTGCCGGAGACTCTAACTGGAACTACTTTTTCATGTGCTATGTTGCAAGAAATGTTGACCATTTTTTTATGTTGATAATCTTTATTTTTATTTTCAAGAATAGAATTTTAATTTATTTTTTCAATCACCTAAAAAAGTTCAAATTCGCAGACATTTTTTTTGCCATCAAAAACCTTATTAAATTTCCAGATTTATAAATTTAAGTCCAAATGTTTATTCAGACAATATTAACCCTTATTTGAGATTTAAACTAGTTTTCAAGATTTAAGGCTGTTGAATCTTGTAAATATAGACTGCCTTGTTTAACTATTAATGGATATTGATTTACCATAGATAGGAAGATTTATTTATGCAAAGAAGCAGTTAATAAATATTTTAAGTGAAATTAATTTTGTATTTATGCAAATATTATTTTAATAAGAAAAAGAGAGGAAAAATATTAACTTGGACTTATTAGGTGATATATTAAATGGCAAAAATTTAATACAGCATCAAACTTTCTAATCAAAACAACCTTAGTAAAGGAATGCATTGTGACATTATATTATTAATTAAAATAAATGAGCAATTAAATGCTGGGCTGCAATTTCTAATCATATTTTTAATTAATTTAATTTAAAATATATGCTTTCTACTTCAAATTAGTAGTGGCTTGCCCCCGTACATCATACTTTTCCATTAACAATAGAGCTGTGCTGGTCATCTATCTAACACCTTTCAGGGGAAATTTTTGAATTGAAATAACATGACTTCTGGTTTGTATTGGACATTTGTATATAGTTAATTGGGGCCTTCTGCCCCTAAGATTTTCATATCTGGTCTCAGATTTCATCTATCTAACTCCATTCTGGTGATTAAGGAAAGACAGGCGGCTGACAGTGGGAATTTATAGATGTATAATTTTTTCAAATTGCAGCCCAATTACAAGTGGATTCTACTGTGTCTTAGTAATGTATATATTTCAAAGTGAAGGTTTTTTTTTTCTATTTTAATTTTAAATAAGTCATCTTGAAATGGTTTGTGATGAGAATTTTATTTAAATAAATGAAATTATGATAGTTTAAAATTATTGAGGTTATTCTATACTTTGTTTAAAAAAAAAAAAGTGTTTAAATGAAGCCATTTAAATGGTGTGGAATGCAATCAGCTGAGATTATGAAAGTCAATATTTTGAATGAGATAAAATTTATAGTATTCAAAAATATTAATAGAAGCATTATGAAAAAAAAAATATATTATAGATAAGCTTATAAACAGAATTACATGGAAATTGCACTTAAAAACCAAGGCTTAATTACATTACTATTTTTTATCTTAATCTTTTTTATTTTATTTAGTAAAATTGAAGATTTTGTCTATGATGCTGTAATACTTTAAATACTGTTTTAAATTTGAAGCTAAACAAAACTTAATAAAAAATAAAGGAAAACATGTAATAGATAAGGCACAAATAAATATCTGACTGTCAAATCTGTGCTTATGTAAAATTCTCCATTAACTTCATTTAATTATCTTTGGGGTATCAAAGAATACGTCATTATATACATGCATATGATGATTATATATTACATGCACTATATATTATAATATGAGAGTTGTTCATAAAGTTCCTGGAAAATGAAAATAAAAAAGACAGCAAATTGAATATAGTGCTGTATTTTTTGGTGTTCATTCCATTTAACTTAAAAGAAAGTTCCATATGGTGTCATTGTTCTTCTAAGCTCTTTCTGAAGAAATTGGTGCTCATTGATTCTAGCCACTACACTAAAAGAAGTTTCACTCAATCTATCAACTGCCTGCAAATGCCTATAATGTCTTTTTTTAAATTTGGGAATAAAAAAACTGTATATGCAAATACTCAATCAAACAAGTCATGACAATTTTATGTTTGCATAAATTAATTATAAATATAGCATTCTGCTTACAAATAATGATCACTTTCTGGGAACTTTTTGAATGCTCCCAGACTCGTGCAATTGCTATAATTTAACTTCCTGTTTTAGTTTGTTTATAAATCTTATACTAATCTGTAATGAATTTTTCTGTTATTCCATCTTTCTAGTTAATTTTGCTCTTTATTCAAATGTTCAAAATAGAGATTAAGATTTATGAAATATATTTATATGTTTTGTATTTTATTATTTTTCATACAATATGTTATATTTAATTACTGTAAAAACAAGAATGTATCCATTTAGCATATTCTATATGCATATATGTTATTCACAAACATACCAATATTTTCTGGGGCAATAAAAGCATGACTGAAGCATGTTGTCATGTTTGGACTTTTTCAGTTCAAGAGCACTTTGAAAGTGTGAGAGTACTTTATATTTAAGATTATTTTTGAATTAATGTTGCACTCTATTTGGAAATAATGTGATATATTTTTTAATGTAATGATCATTCTTGTCAGATATTTTAAAGTTTTTGCAATACTCTACACAACAAATGAACTATATTTACAGTATAGAGAAATTTTTTTCAGACTTTTTAATCTATAATCTTATATAATATGGTTGGATGGCTGATGTGATAAAGGCATTGGCTTATCACTTGAGAGATTTAGATTCCAATCCGTGCCAGAAACCTTGGGAATTTTCTATTGGTAGTCAATTCTGGATGCATTTAGTTTTATTCTTTTCCATCTGGTTTTTCCCAATTTGGACCTGGCTAAATGTATGATGGGCAAGGAATAAAAGAGCTTCTTAGTGCTCATAGGGTAAAAAGAGTTCATTTTAAATTACCTCATATAAAACATTTCTATAATAATGAAAAGAGTATTGTGATTTATATAATGAAATTATAGAAAATATAAAAAAATTTGCATGGAGACATTTTTAACCCTTTGGCAGCTGAGTTTTTTAATACTCCCTACATATAGTTGTAAAAGTTTTATTTTATAATTGAAAATATAATTTTAATAATTTTTTGATGTAAATAGTTTTGTTACATATATGATTAATCATTAAAGAAACAAGTGATTAATATCAAATTTATATGTTTTATTATTTTATAATTTTAAGTAGTTATTATATTAATTATGATAATTTCTAATCAGAAAAATCTGTAAATTTATATGTTTTTATCTCTAAGAATCCCTGTATTGAATATTAGGCTGGTTTCCATTTTCAAATTATGGAATGTTAGTATATTCTCAAATTACCATTTATGTTTCAATGTATTCTGATATGTAATTGATCATTTAAGAAAATGTTAACATTTATACATACATTACACAGATTAAAATAAATATTGTGTTGATCAAAAAGTTTGTTCATTTGCTGATGATGATGCAATTGCCTCATTAATTCAAGAGAACTTGCATTATACCATCAGGAAAATTATGTTCATGTTATCTATTGCTCAGGGATTGGATGCTGTTCATTTACACAACTTTGGATACATATCATACTACAATGTGTAGGAATCACATCAGTTGAGGGAGAGAAATCTGAAAGACTTTATTTGCCTATGTTTCACTGGTGAAAAGTAATTTTGAAGATAGAATGCGGGACTAAAAAAAAACAAACATAGTGTGATATCTTTGGTTGTCTCTGACATGTGATAGATGATGTCAAATTAGGTGTACAGGATAATCAAATAATGATCTTAATGCATGGGAGAAAGTTTCTGCCACTCTATAATTAATCACTGTGTTTTTAAATGATGCCTTGAAATTTTCCAATTTTTCTAGGTGTTTTAAGTTGGACCAATCAGAGCTGGAATATAATGCAAGCTTGGTTGTAGGCTACCTTGATATTTTTGCAATTTTTATTTCATCATCTCGAAAGCCTAGTTTGACATTATCGATCACATGTTGGAGGCAGCCAATAATATCAGACTAAGTTTAGTTGTTTTAACTCTGTATTCTATCTTCTGAATTATTTTTCAACTTACTCAAGTTTGTCAAAAATATTTTGTTTTTTATTGTTTTTGATATTAATATTAATCCAGTTCTCACTTGTTACTACAAGATGAAAAATGGATTTTTTATGATAATGTTTGGCGAAGAAAGCACGAAGAAAGGTTATACTGAGAATAGGATAGAATTGGCAGGGAATTATCGACTGTGAATTGCTACCTCAAATCAGACCTTTAATATAGAACAATATTGTTCCAAACTTGATAATCTGCAGGCAGCCATCAGAGAAAAATGGCCAACATTAGTATGAAGAAAGAGTTCCACTTTTCAGCATGACAACATTAGACAGCATCTGTCTTTGACCATTTGAGAAAAATGATTGGAATTTGGATGGGATGTTTTGTGCCACTCCTATATTCTCTCAGTTTTTTGTTTTCAGTTATCAGTTATTTCAATTGTTTCTGAATAGTTTTCAGAGGAAGAAGTTAGATGATGTAAAAAACCATTTAGAGAAATTTTTTGAAGAAATGTCTTTAAGAATTCATGGCACATGTGATAATGGATCTACCCAACAAATGAGCTAAAGGGATAGAAAACAAAAGTGCATATATAATTTAATAAAGTCATTATTTAATTTATAAAATTTGAGTATTAATTTTGTTTAAAAACAAACTTTTTGATCATCCTAATAAATAGAAAATGCTTTACACAGAGTAATAATTAAAAATAAAAAAATTCTTTATGTTTCAGTAATTATGAACATTAATTATAATCAAGAATGCATTATTTGTGTTTATAAAGGGTAACTGGGAAATGGGCTTTCATAGAAATGAGTATCTGGCAGTTTTTTAACATTTAGATATCATATGATGTAATTAATTTTTAAATTTTTAAATGCTTCTATAGATCAACAGATTATCCAGAAATATTCAAACAGTTGGATTCTTTATTAGGTTACTATACTCCTTAAAAGTTAAATCACAGCATCACAAAGGAATGCACTTAGCAACATGCACATTGCAGGACTGGTAGAGGTGATAGAGATATGCAAATCATTAAAAGAACAAACAAAGATATGCAACAAACACCTGTTTATTTAGTTACGAATAAGGCCCAATGAACAGACCAATATATGGAGAGGTATACTATCAATGAAGTGAGTAATGGATGTACAGTACCTTGCCAAGCTGTGTCCACTTCAGTGCACATGTTGTCTATAGTATGTGGCAGTGGTCCCAGTGTGCCTCATGTTGAATGAGGTCTCACAGGTGTTTGATGGGAGAGAGATCCATTAAGGCTACTGTCCAGAGACGGATGTGAATTCTGTTCAGGCTGGTGTGAGTTCACCTTGCGATGTGTAGTTGGGCATTATCTTGCTGGAACACTGTGTTGAGTTGGCCTGCACCAGTGGCCAAATCATAGGCCACACAATTTGTGATGTATCTGATGTCAGAGCACCAGAAATATGCACCAGGGTTGTCCACTGATCAAACATGATGCCTGGTGTGGGCTGGTGTAATGCTCACCAAAAAAAAGGCTGGCTTGTAGCATTTCTCAGAATACTGCCACACCTGTCTAAAGCCATCACTCCTCTATAGATAGATGTGGAATTTGTCCTTAAACAATATTTCTTATTCAGTGGTCCAGTTGCAATGAATGATGACACCACATCAGGCGTGCAACCCTGTGTCAAACAGTTAATGGCATCCCGGTTGCTGATTGCTTTGCATGCAGCCCCAACTTCATGCAACTTGTTGTAAATGGTTTGGTGGACACAGATGCACCTGTTAATAATGACAGACAACTATGGATGTCACATGCCGTGGCAAACGGGTCTTGATGGGCTCTCTGGCAATAATCTGCCAGTCTGTACACTCTGTTATGTGCCAGTGCAATCCACTCCCTCTTTGCTGCTATGTTTGCAGATGTTCCTGTATCCATTGTGTTACACACCACTGAATGATGGTCACATCATTTGCATGGCAACTGCATACATTGACAAACCGAGGTTGTGCAGCTCCATAATATGGTTTCATTCTCCAGTTGATAACTGGTGGTATTCAGCTCGCTCTCATCTCTGAGGCATTTTCTATGCTTCAAAAGTTCAGCTGCCATGAATTGTCACTGATAACATTTATGGCCCAAGTCGGCCGCTGGTCTTTAGAGCCCAAAACTGGGTACCATGTGACCCTATGCATATGAAAACTTACTTGTTTGCATATCTCTGTTACTTTTACTGAGTCCTGCAATTTGTTTGTGGCTACATGCACTCCTTTGTGGTGTTGCAATTTCACTTTTGAGGTGTGTATAATGCTAAAAAACAAAAAATCCTAAAAATATTAACTAATAAATACTTTAAATATATCTAAATATTTAATTTTCTTAGAAAGTATGAATTTACTATTTTAGTTTTAAATCAAATTACTTTAAGTAGAATTTTCTCAGGAATAAATATTGAAAAGCCAAATTTCTGAAACTTTTACAAACTTAATAGTATTAAGTTTATAAATTCTAAAACTAAGCAATTTAGTTTTGGAGTTGAGAATCCAAAGAAAGCAATTGAAACTGTAGAAAATTTTTTATACACAATAAAAACCAATCTTAGAATAAGTAATCTGAGTTTATGTTTTAATTTGCTTCTTAAGAAGAAGAAATAAAATTTTATAAAGATATTGAATTGTGTGAACTATATCATTTACTATACAAATATAAATAGATTTTTCTTAATATTTATAGTACTAATTTCATAGTCGTTTGAACAATTTAAATTTTTTTTGTATTAAAATTATAATACTTTATTTTTTTTAGCCGACGATTATAGATATCCTAGTTATGGCTCCTATGATACTGGAGATCCTAATACAACTAATTTATATTTAGGCAACTTAAATCCAAAGGTGAGTTTAGTAATTACATTTAGATGATTTATTGATTTATAGATGGTTAATTAATCTAGTATTATTTGAATTAGGCATAACATGGAGTAATGCCTAACCTCATTAGTAACGATATCGCCTTTGCGCAGAGGCGATATCGTTACTAATGAGGTTTGAGCCGAAGTGCGATTATTGCTAGTTGAAAACTTTTCATATTTATCCTACTTTAAGAAATGTTGTAAAAAATTATTTTAGGAATTAATTTTTTGTTATTTGGGAATAATAATTTCTATTCTATGACTATTCATATAATTCAGAATAATATATTACCTTTAACTGGATGTTTTCTTAAATACACTCAAAGAACCAAAATTCCAGTAGTTTATAACACTAAACTCTACTGTCTAAATAAAAATGAATGTTTTTGGTTACTTTAAAGTAACAGTCTTTGGGTTATTACAAAATTCAAATGTGACGCTTGCAATCAGATGCCAAATTTAAATTTTTTAAAATGCCATCTGATTGCACACATCACATTTAAATTTTTTGTAAAAACCTAAAGATAGTTGTTTTAAAACATCTGAAAATGTTCATTTTTATTTAGACAGTAAAGTTTAGTGTTATAAACTACTGGAGTTTTGGTTTTTTGAGTGTGTTTATAATTCAGAATGAATAACTATCATAATCTGTGGGTGCATATAACTGCACCAGCATTATACCCCATAGAATGTTGTTGAAACAGAAATAAAACTTGGAGGTGGTCTGATATTTCCTTTGTAAAGATCTACACAAACAAGGTTTACAGCTATATTCTGTTGTTAATAAATCAGCATCTCTTACAATATATGTTGAAAGCATTCTTCGTTGCTTCATTACAGAACACCTCCTAGTAATCTCACATGTTATTAAAGGACTGGAATCTTTATTAAGACATAAGACCTTTGCACAACCTACACCATTGTATTCCCCACAGCAGCCATTGAAAGCACAATACTTACTGCTATATAGTTTAGAACAGTGTTTTTAAACCTCAGGTCCACAATAAACTTTTATCATCCTGCAGAAAAATATTTGACCATACTGAAGCTGACACAGTTGGTAACACATGACTTTTAAATATTAATCTAGACTTACTATATGTACTAGATAAGCATATATAAGCTTAATAAATAAGCATAATTCATAATCAGATATATCAGTCTCTGTAAAATTATCCATAATTTTATTGTCCATGATGAGAAAAAGGTTGAAAAACACTGTTTAGAAGATACTATCTCAAACATTAGAACATTTCTTTCTGCATCACTTATTTTAAAAATACATTCTAAATGTACAAGGTCTTCCTTAATGAATGCTGTCATTTTAAATTCCTGTAATTATCTTTTCTAATTTACTGTAATTATGTTAATTATTATCCAAGATGTGTGTGACATGCACCAATCAATAGAATAATTGTCTAAGTTTTTTAAAACTTAGACAATTATTCTATTCTTCTCTTCTATCTGCATTTAAATGTGATATTTACTACCACTAGGAAGGGCCATAAACTAAAATGGCAACTTTGCAACAGAGAAGACACTTTGTGTTCTGCAGTTTGCAAAGTCTGAATCACTCGTCATGCAACGATGTGAATAATCTGCAAGAGCTGTAGAATTATGGGTGTTATGGCAGGAGTGACAATAGATATGCCACAGCGAGTGTAGGAAGAATTTGAGTATTGGCTAGATGTTCTATGTGACATGAAGTGCATGCATTGAGAAATTGTAATGGGCAAATGTGAAACTTGGATAATGATTAACATAATTACAATACAAAAAATTAATTATAATAATTTAAGATTATTGTAATCATGTAGAATTCTTTCTGAATAACCAAACCTGAATATTTTATAATAAATTATTAAATGCTGAATTATTCAGATTATGTTTTGACTAACTATTATATATAAACATCCAAAGACTGATGTATTAATACTAAACCAAACAATTGCCATAATTAATTGGGCTAATTTTTGTTATAGTTAATAATTAGAAACAAAATAATTTGGTACTAGAGGTAGACGTTAGGTACCATCTATTATCAAAATTAATAATTATAATAATTTAATATTTATTAAATAATTTAAAACAGTCTGGAAAAAAAAATCACCTGGAGCGAAAATTGAACTCACAATCTCCACTTACCGTGTGGTGCACTGTCCAGTTACGTCACTTGGATCTTCAAGCAACTCTTCACTCTCAGACATATTTAAATCTTTGATATAACCATTTACAGTTACTCATGGCATTGACTAGGGACGACTCCTATGCCCATGGCCTATGTACTGTACTACTCCACTATAGCACTCAGCCAGCTATTGCTTTACTCAGCATGGTTTACACACATAAATATTCCAAAGCCCAATGTATTAATATTAAACTAAACGATTGCCCATAATTAATCAAAGATTTAAATGTGTTTGGAAGTGAAGAGTTGCTTGGAGATCCAGCTGGCATAACTTGGGCAGTGCATCGCACAGTAAATAGAAGTTACTGGTTTGACTCCTGCTTCAGGCTGATTTTTTTTTCTAGACTGTTCTAAATTATTATAATTATTAATTTCGACAAGTGATGACACTTAACATCTACTTCTATTACCAAATTACTTAATTTCTAATTATTAATTATAGCAAAAAAAAAAAAAAAAAA